AACATTATTGCATTAAAATTCATGCAGTCTTTTCATTCACATGCAACATGCATCATGCTTAATTTTATATTAATATTATTTTCAAATAGCGCTCGGCCGCACAGATATACGTATACCCCGCGCCTGCGAAAAGGAAGCGCTTACGTCAAATCTCATATAATGGTAAACACCGCGGTCGCGCGAGAGGAGATACATTTTAGTTCCCGATAATAACAAAACGATTATTTTCCTGAAAGTAAATAATTACACTAAACGCTCTTTCGCCCTCAGCCGAACGATAAATTTAAGAGAATCTTTCTCGACTATTCTAGAAATACGGGCCTATATAAACCTCCTCTCTCGTGATCGCGGTGCTCTTTTCCGATTGCTTGTCGCGTCAAGAGTGTGCTTATACTTTACGAAAAAGATCGCTTGTCTTTTTCGTTTTTTCACGTTCAATTACCGTTGCTTGCGGAACATTTCGTTATTAATTATCGACTCGGCTATTTCTTTTGGTTTATTCTTATCAGTTAATTCTCTGGCAATTTCTGTGCGGTTTAAACAATTGTAATTTTTGTTGTTTGTAGTGTAAATATATTTTTTTGTTCACGTTACGCGTGTGTCGAGTGCAGTACTTCTCTATCGTCTCGCTTCCGACCTTCCTTTTCCGCGATCCGTTGTGCACATAGGTTATTGTCATTATATGTAAGTCGATAGGTCAGTCAAATAGGTGCAAATTAGCTTTAAAGATGTTAAAATAGTATCAAGATTTCGACTCGGGTTTTCACTTGCACTTAACGTTAGTAACTCGCAACACGTGACAATAACGCACGATACGAATAAAATGCGTACGTTCGAGAAACTTGAAATACACATTTTCTTTTGTACAGCGGGAAATTTATACTTCCATTTCCCGTCGAAAAATTCGACATTTTCCCCGTTTAGATTTTGAAAGAGCGGGAGAATCGAAAAAAATTTCAATTTTCTTGCTAGCGATTTCTTCGTTTTTCACGAAGGAGGTGACGAAGAATATTCTTAATCTAGTTTACTCACCTATCGGATGATACTTTTCTTAAATTCTGGGTGTTTCTTAAAACTAAATATCTCTTAATTTGTTATTTATCTTCGGAATGTGCTTTTTTCTTCATAAATAGGCGTGACAGAAAGATTTTTAGTTATTTCATTGGCGAACGTCGATTTTCTTTCTGATAAATATTTCAGATGGTGTTAAGTTTTACAACTATTTTCTCTGTGCAGTTTGGAAAATCGTAAAATATAATTTATTTTTATTTTACGAGATACAATGAACTACAAAAATATCAAAGGATTGCTTTTTGTTTACCATGTCATATATTCATATATTGGTGCATGTACTAAATCTCTAACCTTTTTTTGTCTCCAAACATTTATTTTACTTCTTTATTACACGAAATTTATTAACTCCAATCTTTATCCTTTTCCGACGTTCTCAAACTCGTAAATTTCTTACTATTTTAGTTTTTTTCGTCTTAATTAATTAGTTGTTTATTGAACTTGGAGTGCCGCGGTGTGATATCGAATCGATTTGATGCGAGGAATTGAAATGATTAGAGAATTATTAAAGTAAAACTCAGAGTATATTTTCTAATGTAACAAGGTCCTCGAAACTGTACAGGATTATTAATTCACTCGCGTTATAATATACGTCCGCACGCGGTAACAGTCGGAAAACGAATCTCTCGCATGTACAAATGTTCTACCTATCTTTTGCCTCAAAACGCCCTTCGATAGGCTTCGAGAGGCTTCCAGAATTTTCTGTCTGTTTTACTTGCTTTGTTTCTTAATCGTCTTGATATTTGTCTCTATCTGTCACGTCTGTTCTGTTTATTTCTATTTATTTATGTCTCGGTGACCGTATTCGTATACGTGTTTATCGCTCAATAATTTTAGTGAAGTATGTGACAATGTAATCGCCACACTATATTTTAAAAGAATAAAAAATATTTTCAAATCAAATCTCCCGAGCGTTTTCTTTTTGTTTAATACATATTTGTTTAAACATAAGAATTCGATTTGACATGAAAAATTTAATTTTTGTTTATTTACTTACATACACAGATTTTTCTTTCGTCCTTTTCTTGCGTTACATGATCTCGTTTCTAGAAATTTCTAAATATTTCTAGAAGCTTTTTATTTAACGCGTACAAATCTGAACATGAAAAATCATGATTTTTCACGTAAAATACGTCTTCCCCACTTTTATTTTTTTAATTTTTGCGAGAGAAGGAGAACGATAATATAAGCGAGTCGACAAGTCGTTCTTCCGCATTCATTCGAGTTCGAGTTTACAGAAATACAAGTTCAAGGTACGAAGAAAGAATTCCTCGCAGTTTTGCCATTTTACCGGATTGTCCTGACTACTCGTAAAATTTTACAAGTGAAAACAATGGCTACGCGCAAGGAAGTACCTAACTTTCCCAAATCTGAGCGCAATCGCCATATTCGCAGAACGGCTAACAACGACGGCATGAACATCGATAACGTCAGAAGATACAAACAACGTTATTTATTGTTATTGACGACGTATGAACTTAATTCTTCTCACACTAAGATATACGTTGGATTGCAGTCGAAGAACGATGGCGGCTTTATACCGATTGTTAAATTAACGGGTAATTACACCGAAGGAATTTGCTTCGACGTCAACACGTGGCGTCAGTTTCAAACCAATATGAATCTATGAACTTGAATGAGAATCTAAAGATTAAACCAGATCCTATTATTATCGAGAATATTTCGATCAACTTCACTACTGCTTACGGAGCGAGAGCTGTACTGGTGGCATACAAAGAAAACAACAAAGATCATGCAGCGGAAGATAAAGCGAAAGAAGAAGAATCTCAGCCGCCGCTGAAGAAACGAAAAACTTACGCAGTTGCAATAGTGATGCAGAAAACTACTTTTCTCGGCTTGGAACATATTAGAAAATGCGTAGATGCACATTTGACGCAGTTAGTTTCTATAGTCGATACTGTTGATGTAACTGCAAGATATTTAATTAACGAAATAGAATTAAAACTTCCCTCGTCTTACATTGATCGTGAAATTATAAAACTTACTATCAAAGGCAATTATCAGAAAATTGAACGTAATGTACGAACGCAAATAAATAGCAAAATTTTTAGATGTTTACTTTAACATTGTATTTGTAGAATTACGCTTCGATTTAATGAAATTCTCCGTATTATTTTGCTAAAATGCAAATCTTAATTTTTTCTTAAAAAAAATATCACTAATAAATAAAACTGTTTCTATCTTAAATCTGAACATTTTCTTTTATTCTCCTCCTCCTCCTATAATGTTGTCTGAGTTTTATTGCGAGCGTAGAACGCAAGCAGACGAAGACAACGATGTATCCTTTCTGCGCGCGGTGTCCGCGCCCCTTGCTGGTCCAGATGAGGATGGGTCCCGCATAGTCCAGGCCGGTGCTAAGAAATGGTCGAGTTGGCGTCACTCGGTCACGAGGAAGGTTGCCCATTGGAGGTTGTGGTGTGGCAGCTTGCCAACGAGTGCAGGTGACGCACCGATGCAACTGCTGTTTAACGACGGTCCTCCCGCGTGGCACCCAAAATCGAAGGCAAAGTAGGCCGAGTGTCAACTGAACGCCGCCGTGCAGAGTCCGACGATGGCAGGACTCAATCAGAAGTCGAGTCATCCAGGAGGCCGGCGAGACGATCATCGGGTGTTTCTCGTCGTGGGACAGCAGAGCATGTTTGAGACGTCTTCCGACGCGCAGTACGCCTTGGTCGTCGAGGAATGGGTTCAACTTGGTCAGTGAATACTGCGTGGAAGACCGGGGCGTCCCGCGGTGGCAGCTGCTACCTCGTCTGAGAAGTGGAGCGCCTGCACTACTTAAAGCCATCGGAGTAGGGCGGCGTCTAACTCGTCTGGGTGTAGTGAACGACCAGGTGTGACATTACGGCTAGCCAGGTTGAGCCATCGACGACATCAAGCAGTAACTCGCAGCAGTCGATGCAGTGTAGGGAACCGAAAAAGAAGATCCGATTTGACGATAACAGAACTCTTGGTCATCAGGCTGGTGGTTCGTTGTTCCGGAAGGTCATCCTCCGAGATGTCGACCTCTGAGCTGGGCCACGCCGTCTCGTCCAGTGACAACCAAGTAGGTCCTGTCCACCACAATGCGTGGTTGACTAGCTCACCAGGACTAATGCCTCGTGATGCGCAATCTGCAGGATTATCTTTCCCGGCTACGTGTCTCCGTTAAGCGTCCGGGAGCTCTGTCTGGATATGAGCTACCCGGTTGGCGACGGAAGTTTTCCAGCGGGTAACGTGTCCCTGGATCCAATGGAGCGTGACCTTCGAATCGGACCACAAGTGCACTGGGGTAGCTGCCAAGCCGAGCGTGTTGCGGACATGTAGCGTGAGCGTGGTGAGTAGAGTAGCAGCGCACAATTCAAGGCGAGGTAATGACACTTGCTTGACGGGTGCGACTTTGGACTTTGCCATTAGCAAGTTGACTGATGCTTTGGTTTTTGCAGTGTTGCGGATGTAGACCACGGCGGCGTATCCTCGTTCTGACGCGTCGGCGAAGCCATGGAGCTGCAACGTTGAGTGATTGTCGTCGGTGCTGAGCCAACGCGTCACGCGTATGTGGCTGAGAAAAGGAAGCTGGTTTAGCAACTGTTGCTAGCGTTGAGTGTCCTTGGTAGGCAGCGGAGAGTCCCAATCCAATTGCACGTGGCGAAGCCACGTGGTCTGGATCAGGATTTTTCCCCGAATCACGACAGGCGCAAGCCAGCCCATCGGGTCGAACAGTCGTGCAGTCTCGGCGAGGACTCGTCTCTTCGTGAACTCGGTGATTGAACGGGGACGTATCGCGAAGATAAACCAGTCGCCTTGAGGATGCCATCGCAGGCCCAGGGTAGAATGGCTCTCTCCGTCCCATGAGTGTGGTCCGTGCTGAAAACGATGCTTCTGTAGGACTCCCGTGAGAACTTCCGGTTCGTTCGACGCCCATTTCCTCAATGGAAATCCGCCCGCCGTGCAAAGATTGCGCAGTTCTGGAGGTTGACTGCGTCTTTGAGGTTGTCCGCACCGGTGACCACGTCGTCGACGTAGCAGTCACGCCGAAGCGCCGTGGCCCCTTGAGGAAACTGCGCCCTCTCGTCCGCACAAAGTTGCCGCAGCGTTCTAATGGCAAGGAAAAGTGCACAAGCCATTCCGTAGATCACTGTCAGCAACTTGTATTTGTGGATTTCGTCAGCCTTGTTGTGGCGCCACAGGATTGTCTGAAAGCGGCAATCTTCAGGATGTACTAGGATTTGTCGGTACATATTCTCAATGTCCGTGACGAAAACGTACCAATGCCAACACCACCGCAGTAGCACGTCGGTGAGCGCTGGTAAAAGATTCGCACCAGTCATGAGATACAAATTCAGCGAAGTACCGGGCCGTGTACGTTGAGAGCCGTTAAACACGACTCGGAGTTTTGTAGTCGTGCTCGACTCTTTCAGGACTCTGTAGTGCCTTAAGTAGCACTTGAGACTGGAAGCGGTTGTCGGCGTGTTGACTTTCCTCATGTGTTGCAGGTCCTCGTACTCCTGCATGAAGCCTCGATAGAGGTCGCCAAATCGAGGATCTCGGCTTCCCTTGCTCTCCATAGCTCCTAGGAGGCGCTCCGCTGGCCGACGAGTTTCATGAAGTGTCGTCGGCGGTGAGGAAAATGGCAGCCTCACCATGTACCTCCCGGTAGGCGTGCGTGTGACGGTGCGCACAAACAGGTCCTCACACTTGGTTTCTTCGGAAGTGAGCGGAGCCCGAGTTATTGGCTCTCACTCTCCTACTCCCAAATCGCCGAACCAGGTTGGCGAGGTCATGGTCGGCGGTGCACTAAAACGTGCGGCGATGTCCGTTGGTTGCTGCTGCGTCGTATCCGCCGGACAGAATCCATCCCAGGCTGATTTGCTGGGCGATCGGCATCCGTGACCCACCCTTGCGGAGGCCTTCCTCGAGGATCAAGGAGTAGACCTCGGCTCCTAGCAGTAGCTCCGCTAAGTCGTCGTCCAAAAAGCGGGGGTCGGCCAGCTGGAGTCCTTGAAGAGGCCAGCTGCGGTCTTCTCTCGAGACCGAGCCTTGCTGAAGAGAGATACGAGGCAGTATGAAGGCTACCACCGAGAGCTTGACGTTGGTCACATCTGACGTAATGTGCAGCGTGACCTTGCCGCGAGCTGATCCTGAGCAGGTCCCTTCGATGCTGAAGATGAACAGGTCTGTAGAGACTTGAGGCAGGCGGAGACATTGCGCCAAGGTCTCGAAAATGATTGACACCTCGGAGCACTGATCGATCAGGACGCGCACGGCGTGTGGCGATCTGTACCGATCGTCGATGTTGACTCGAGCTGTTGCGAGAAGAACGGCCTTGTGATCCTGGTTCCGAAGCGTAGTGGCCAGTGTAGTGGCGCATGTGGTGGCCTCAGCTGACGGCGATGACATAGGTGCTTCGTGCAACATGGTGTGGTGTCGTGCGTCGCACGTACGGCAGTTCTTCTTTGACTGACACCGTGATAGAAAGTGGTTTCTCAAGCAATTGTAACAGAGTTTGTTTGTCTCGACAAATGTTTTACGCTCGGTGATAGTCTTGGCCTTGAAATCTCAGCAGGTCATTAGTGTGTGTTTTTTGCGACACAGTGTACAGTGCGGCGACTTAGTTCCTTGATGTTTCGTGACGTGTGCCTTGGCAACTCGTGGAGCATCTCCGGACGTTTTGCTGACGTTCTTCGGTCGTGCGGCATTGAGCGTCAGAATCCGTCGGCTTAAAGAAGTTGATGAGTGCCTCGTTCTGTGGTGATTCGGAGGAGTCTGACGTAAATGACTCCCCTTCAAGACGCGTACGTGCGTCAAACAGTTCGGTGACCAAGTAGTTGAAGAGATCCATCTCGTGGGTGTTGATTGGACGTCCGATACTCTCCTGAGCATTGACGGCGGCAGTGACGGCGTTGTAGATGCGTCCCAATTCCTCTGCGGTATCTCCCTTCATTTTTGGCACGGCGGTAAACGTGGCAAAGTTGGAGCGGATTAATTCCTTTTTATTATTGCAGTGCTTGTCCAAGATCGCCCAAGCGCGATTATAGTTGTCACTGGTGATAGGTAATGATTTGATCAACCTTTCAGCTTGCCCCGTCAGACATGAGCGGAGGTGGTGAAGGCGCTCGATGTTGGAGATCGCATTGCCACCCACGACGGAGAGAAAGAGATCTCTGAAGAATGGTCAATCAGCACCAGAAAACAGCGGTACCTTGATGCGCGACAGTGATGACCTTGATGTGGCGTCGGCAGGTGGAGGTACGTTCGGCGCCCGAAAGTGTTCGGCATAGCCATCAAGTATGCTTTTTTGCGTCACGTACAGGTTTTCCGTATCTGCATGCAACTCTGATTTGAAGTAATCGCTCTCGCCGAACTTCTCTTTCAAGGCCGCGCGAATAAGGTCATGCTGTGCTTCAAACTTTGTCCACAGCTGATCCAGGATTCTGGTGCGTGTGGCAATAGCACTGGCGGTGATGTTGGAGCTGCCCAGCTTCTTTAAATACTCCACAGAACGTGAGATGCGGATTTGAATCTTGCGTTGACAATCGACCAGCGTGGGCACATCCATGATGGCTGCACACAAGGATGTTCACTAACTTCACCGACACGAGGAGTCACGCTCGCGAACTCGCGGTTGCCGGTGCGACGGATCCGGCTCGAAGGACCAGAAATATGTTCACGAACGCGTTGAGTGAAAGGAGATCGCGCGACAGAAAGCTAAGTCACCTCTTGTATAAAAAAAAAGAGTTTAATTTTATGACATACATTGATTGACAAATTACACTTGCACAAACTTAATACAGACGTTAATTACTTTCAGAAATACTTAATCAAAATCAGAGAAAGGAATAAGCGGCGGTCGTCAACAAATTTGCGGTTTAACTATTAAGCGGATTTGCGATGTGCGGTTCACAGCGGAAAAGCGATAAGGCTGTCAATCCGGGTGTGAGCTCCCCCTTTATAGTTTTCCGGACGGAGCCCACCCTCGCGTGAAGCGTCAATAATTTTGAGTAATTTCAATATTGCGCTAGGTGACCTGAGCGCATTACTCATAATTGGCCGCTGATAATTGACGCAAAGAAGGCCCGAAGAGAACATGCGCAAGCGGGCAATCGCGGTAATCATTGGTGATTCGAGGCGTCCGTGATAAGCCGCGTATGCTTGTTACAGTATAAGTATTCGGCGGAACGGTTGCGATACCGTTAATTGTTTACATTTTGATAGTTTTTTGTTGATGACAAGTTTATGACTAGTTGATTTATGTCGAGTTTTTTTCTTTGAAAACATAGAAAAGCGACGTAAATATTTGTTATGGATTTAATATCGACTTGTCTAGAATATACTGGAATATTCTATTCGCGTTTTGTACAGTCATGAACAATTTTATTAATTAAATAATTAATTATTATAAAAGTAATAAAAAGATTTTAGTCGAAAAATTATTATATTTTAATAAAATTACAACTTTATTGTCAAAGATAATTAATTAAACAACATTGTTGTTCGAAAATTGAACGTTTAAAAACCTGCAAGGTAAAAAGCATAAGACCACACTCATGCAAAAAAATATAATATTCATGCAACGTCCTTATGCCGCATGCATCATGCTATACATATTAATAAAAATATTATATACAAATAGCGCTCGGCCGCGAGGGTATACGGATACCCCGCGCCTTCGAGAAATAAGCGCTTAAGTCATTTAACATTAAATTGTAAACACCTCGGTCGCGCGAGAGGAGACAAAAAATAGTCCTTATAATAACAAAAATGAGATCTAACTCAGGAGTAAATAATTACAATAAACGTTCTTTCGCCCTTAATTTCACGATAAAACATGAGAAAATGTTCGCAAATGTTCTCGAAAAAAGGGCCTATATAAACCTCCTCTCTCGTGACTGAGGCGCTCTTTCCGTTTCCTAGTCGACGCGAATAGAGTGCGAGTTCTTAAAACTGAAAAAGTGATAGCTTGTCTCTTTTTTCGTGCGTTATCTCCGTTGCTTGCGGACTTCTATACAATTATATTGACAACTCGGCTAATTCTCTTGATTTATTCTCATCGGTCAATACGTGTAAATTCTATTGTGTTAGTGTTAAATAAATTTTGTTGTTAACGTTACGCGCGTGTTGATCTAAGTGTATTCCAGTGTTCTCGCTTCCGGATTCTTTATCCTGCCTTCCGTCGCGTACAATTGTAAAAATTAAAAACTTTACATATGTATATTAATTACATATATATATATATATATATATATATATATATATATAATATATATTGTTACGTCCTCCGGACGTTCTCTCTCTCAAATCACTCGTACACTCTCACACACGCGGAACACGCCCGAAAAGGATAAAGACTCTTAAGGTGGTACTGAGTTTTAATATGAAAATCCAGTACAAAAGAACGATGCAATACAATAAATAATATGCGCAAATGCTCATTGACCTCGAAAGCGTCTGCTCGATGCGACAGCTCGACCAAATCTGTCATGGAGCCTCAAAACAACCACAGGGCGGTTGTCAATAAACAACCCCCTTAACGATGAAGTTCCACAACGACACACAAGGGATGATATTCAGGGGATGAAAGATCAGGGACGTAACAATATATATGAGTAGTAGTTTTAATAATAAAGTAGGGGAGACCGGAGCGAAGTCGTCATTACAGTTATCTCGAAATCTATGTTATGTGAACTCGTTATTAATATTATAAACGCTATTTATGATGTCTACGTAACCAACAGAATTTAGTGAAGTTATATGCTATTGTTCACGAACGCGCTGCGAGAGAAAGGATCGCGCGGCACCAAAGGATGAGTCACCTTTTGTATTAAACTGACTTTAATATTATAAAACAATTAAGAATAAACACTTCAACAAACTTTTACAATCTTACTTAATTTACAGAGAAAATCGGAATCAAAATCGAAGTGCGGAATAAGCGGCGGTCGTCAACGAATTTTAGCGGTTTTACAAGTATGCGGTTTGCGTTATGCGGTTCACGGCGGAAAAGCGATAAGGCTGACAAGCCGGGTGTGGGCTCCGCTTTTATAATTTTTAGAAAAGAGCCCACCTTCGCGTGATGCGCCAATGATTTTGCGCGTTTTGAAAATTGCGCGAGGTGACCCGAGCGCAGTACGCGTATTGGCCGCTGTCAAAATTGACAGGATGTCGGCTGTGAACGAGCATGCGCGAGCGGGCGACCGCGATGATCATTGGTAAAACGAGGCGCCCGTGAGACGCCGCGCATGCTCGTAGAAATATAACTATTAGGCGGAACGGTTGCGATACCGTTAGTTGTTGGTATTTTGGTAGGTTTTTTACATGACAGAATGATTTATGTCGCGGTATGATTTCTTTAAAAACACAAAACAATATGAGTGTTGTTATTTCCGCTCGGTATAGAATATTCTAAAATATTCTATATGAATATAATATTTCCTTACGCGTATGATATCACAATAATTCTAATATGCATTTCGAACAGCTATGTTGTGATTTTGATTACAACAAACGTATTTTTAGTAGTCCAAAGTGAAATTTTTTACGCATCGAAAATTTTTAATATTTAAAATTTTTTTCAAATCTGTAGGTAAGTGATTTTAAAGAGTAATGTGTGCTGAACTGAAATCCAGTGCAGTTTTTTTTTTATTTC